TTGTTTGAGTTTATGTCACATTCACATTGTCTATGTTTGTATAAATTGCAAACTATAAACAGTAAGACTGATCGCGCTTTCTCTATCCATATATGTGTCTTCCAAATCAAAAAAAAAAAAAAAACAAAAAAAAAAGAAAGAAAGAAGAAGTTTCTTAATTCACATCCTAGAAAACCAAATAAACACATTGTAATTCTAAATAATTTATATAATGCTAGATCAAGAAATGAATAAAATATACGAAAAAAATTACATATTTCTTTTTGTACAATACCAATTAAGTGAACCATTGATGTCTAATGTTTGTGTTAGCGGCTTATTTTTTGTATGTTCGTGTCGTGTTGGTATTGTTAGGCCAGCCAAGCCCGACATCCAAGATGAAAATCACCTGGTCAATGAACGTCCAAGAGTCCGAGCAATCTTAACTAGTTGACAGTTAGCTGTGAACTTAGAGCAACTCCAATAAATTATGTAAAAGGGATTTGTTAGCTATTTTAGATAGCTAGTCTATAAATTTTGGCTCTAACCGATTAGCTATCTCACTCAGCATTACCCATAAGCCAATATTAGTAGTTGCTGGATCTGGCAAGCCCCTCCAAGGCTAGGTATTTCCTCAATCGCGAATTTGTGCCAAAATAGTCAACTGCACACAAGCTCCACAGAAGGCTTCATTGTAGAGGCTCAGTCCACAGTCTTCATCGCCAAGCTCTTTATCATTTGGAAGGCTCAGTCTTCATCGCTAAGCTCTTCATTGTCTTCATATCCTAAAACTTCCAAAAATTCAATAAAACCTCCAAAAAAATCTAACAAAATTCCCCTAAAAAAATCCAACAAATTCCCCAAAAAAATTCAGTAAAATCTCCAAAAAAATCCGGTAAAATTTTCCAAAAAATCTAGCAAAACCCCCCCAAAAATCCTCTCCCTCTCGTCTCTTCCCCTGCTAGTTCTCTACACATAGATTTCTCTTCTGGTATGACATGCAATCCTTTGTTTTGTATCTAAGTTAGAGCTTTCTATGAAATTATAGTAATCAATTATGAGATTTATTATTTTTTGTTTGCTGAAGATATTCATTTTGTGATTGATGAATTTATGTTTTGTAATCTGGGTTGCTGAATTCTTGATGTCGAGAGTGAATTTTGAGGCTGTGATTTGTTGCTTTCTTTTTATAACTTGAATTTTTGAATTATATTATTGAAAGTTAATTAAAATTAATTGAAATAGTTAGCTAAAATAGAGACGTGGTTGGAGTAAATTTTAAAAAGTAACTAGTTAAAATAAAAAATTTAATATTTAAATATATTTTAATTAACTATTTTAGATAGTGTGGTTGAAGATGCTCTTATAAAGTTGAAGATTTATCGCGTAAAACTGGCCTACGTAGTCATGGCACAGCTAATCAATGGGGCGAACTATAATGAATACATTGGGCCGGGTGAGAACATACGGTTGTGTTCGATTGGGCAACCTCTTCTGCAAGCCCATCAGGCTTCAACAGGTCACGTGACCCACATTCAGCTCCACACGGAGCACAGCAACGCCTCCCACGTAGCTTGGTTCTCATCCTCTCTCTCTCTCTCTCTCTCAGGTTTTTGGTTCAGTAGAACTTGCTCGATCCCTCAGTACCTCAACCTGCGAAAATGTCTTCATTGGGGACTTCAAAAGGAATTCTGGAGATCGCAAAGTTCGCAGTTTACGTTTCCGTTCCGATCGGTCTAATGTATTTCTTCGCCAACAACACCAAGAATCTCCAGAGAATCATGGGCAATGTAAAACCTCTCTCTCTCTGTGTTCATACATACGTAAACATACACACACACACGATTTTAGCTTCATTTGCTAGCAAGTAGTTTGAATCAGTTTACTAAGCTGAAAATTTCTGTTGATAATTTTCACAACACCCAAATTAAGGCAGCCGCTTTGATTCTATAACCAATTTTTTATGAGTTTTTGTGGGCAANTTGAAGTAAAATATGCTTAACTACGTGTATGCGAACAAAAAGCTAGGTGGCATAACATTGAATAATCAGTCATGAAGTAGATGTATTTGGGAAGTATTCATCCAATGTCAGCAGCCCTACTAATTTTATATTAGTTTTGATAGTTTGTGATTGGAACTTTGAGCATTGATAAGCACCCATTCGTCGGAATAATATATTTACGTTTTTTTTTTGTTTTAGAATTAGTACATAAAAAAAAAAAAAATTGTCTATTACTTATTTCTTCCGATCTATACTCTAAATGAGGTATTATAGCCTAGAAACAACCTTTTACTCTCACACATGCTCCCTTAAGAAGTTCTCCAAAGAGTTTTCATCTCTTAAACGTTATTTTTAAATTGGTCGAGCAATGTTTGTCTTGTTTTAACGTGATTTTTTTAAAAGAGAAAAAAAGTGATGGAATTGAATCCTGTGTTTTTAGGCTTATGACTATAATTCAAATTCAAATAAAAAAAATTATAACAAATTTGGATCTAAAGATGTTGATGCCTTGTTGAAATTGCTTGTTGCCCTAACCATGCTCAATTTTAGGATTCGTTTCATTAGAAAGAAAAACATGATAGAAAACAAAGATAATAGACAGTAAAGGGAAGGAAATAAGAAGGAAAACTGCCAGTACCATGCAGCTGCTTCAAACAAATTAATGTCACGTGCTCCCTCTCTCTCTCTCTCTCCCCATTCTCTTGCAAACAAACACCTCTTAGACATAAGGTTGATACCAATTTGCATACTTTATTATGTGTGGCTCTGTCTATGCATGAAAGGTTGCTTTGCTGAAGCAGTTTGGGCTAAGGTTTCGTTGGGCCGCAACGACCCATAATGCAGTGTTTGCTTTGAGAAAGAAATTTGTGATGTACAGAAAAGACAGAAGCTAGAGCTCATGGGACATGAATCGAGTTCATTCATCTCACATCATATTTGAATTGTATCATTTTTAAACTGAGAAATGTATTTGGATTGTTTGAGTTTATGTCACATTCACATTGTCTATGTTTGTATAAATTGCAAACTATAAACCGTAAGACTGATCGTNTCAAACAAATTAATGTCACGTGCTCCCTCTCTCTCTCTCTCTCCCCATTCTCTTGCAAACAAACACCTCTTAGACATAAGGTTGATACCAATTTGCATACTTTATTATGTGTGGCTCTGTCTATGCATGAAAGGTTGCTTTGCTGAAGCAGTTTGGGCTAAGGTTTCGTTGGGCCGCAACGACCCATAATGCAGTGTTTGCTTTGAGAAAGAAATTTGTGATGTACAGAAAAGACAGAAGCTAGAGCTCATGGGACATGAATCGAGTTCATTCATCTCACATCATATTTGAATTGTATCATTTTTAAACTGAGAAATGTATTTGGATTGTTTGAGTTTATGTCACATTCACATTGTCTATGTTTGTATAAATTGCAAACTATAAACAGTAAGACTGATCGCGCTTTCTCTATCCATATATGTGTCTTCCAAATCAAAAAAAAAAAAAAAACAAAAAAAAAAGAAAGAAAGAAGAAGTTTCTTAATTCACATCCTAGAAAACCAAATAAACACATTGTAATTCTAAATAATTTATATAATGCTAGATCAAGAAATGAATAAAATATACGAAAAAAATTACATATTTCTTTTTGTACAATACCAATTAAGTGAACCATTGATGTCTAATGTTTGTGTTAGCGGCTTATTTTTTGTATGTTCGTGTCGTGTTGGTATTGTTAGGCCAGCCAAGCCCGACATCCAAGATGAAAATCACCTGGTCAATGAACGTCCAAGAGTCCGAGCAATCTTAACTAGTTGACAGTTAGCTGTGAACTTAGAACAACTCCAATAAGTTATGTAAAAGGGATTTGTTAGCTATTTTAGATAGCTAGTCCACAAATTTTGGCTCTAACCGATTAGCTATCTCACTCAGCATTACCCATAAGCCAATATTAGTAGTTGCTGGATCTGGCAAGCCCCTCCAAGGCTAAGTATTTCCTCAATCGCTGGATTTGTGCCAAAATAGTCAACTGCACACAAGCTCCACAGAAGGCTTCATTGTAGAGGCTCAGTCCACAGTCTTCATCGCCAAGCTCTTTATCATTTGGAAGGCTCAGTCTTCATCGCTAAGCTCTTCATTGTCTTCATATCCTAAAACTTCCAAAAATTCAATAAAACCTCCAAAAAAATCTAACAAAATTCCCCTAAAAAAATCCAACAAATTCCCCAAAAAAATTCAGTAAAATCTCCAAAAAAATCCGGTAAAATTTTCCAAAAAATCTAGCAAAACCCCCCCAAAAATCCTCTCCCTCTCGTCTCTTCCCCTGCTAGTTCTCTACACATAGATTTCTCTTCTGGTATGACATGCAATCCTTTGTTTTGTATCTAAGTTAGAGCTTTCTATGAAATTATAGTAATCAATTATGAGATTTATTATTTTTTGTTTGCTGAAGATATTCATTTTGTGATTGATGAATTTATGTTTTGTAATCTGGGTTGCTGAATTCTTGATGTCGAGAGTGAATTTTGAGGCTGTGATTTGTTGCTTTCTTTTTATAACTTGAATTTTTGAATTATATTATTGAAAGTTAATTAAAATTAATTGAAATAGTTAGCTAAAATAGAGACGTGGTTGGAGTAAATTTTAAAAAGTAACTAGTTAAAATAAAAAATTTAATATTTAAATATATTTTAATTAACTATTTTAGATAGTGTGGTTGAAGATGCTCTTATAAAGTTGAAGATTTATCGCGTAAAACTGGCCTACGTAGTCATGGCACAGCTAATCAATGGGGCGAACTATAATGAATACATTGGGCCGGGTGAGAACATACGGTTGTGTTCGATTGGGCAACCTCTTCTGCAAGCCCATCAGGCTTCAACAGGTCACGTGACCCACATTCAGCTCCACACGGAGCACAGCAACGCCTCCCACGTAGCTTGGTTCTCATCCTCTCTCTCTCTCTCTCTCTCAGGTTTTTGGTTCAGTAGAACTTGCTCGATCCCTCAGTACCTCAACCTGCGAAAATGTCTTCATTGGGGACTTCAAAAGGAATTCTGGAGATCGCAAAGTTCGCAGTTTACGTTTCCGTTCCGATCGGTCTAATGTATTTCTTCGCCAACAACACCAAGAATCTCCAGAGAATCATGGGCAATGTAAAACCTCTCTCTCTCTGTGTTCATACATACGTAAACATACACACACACACGATTTTAGCTTCATTTGCTAGCAAGTAGTTTGAATCAGTTTACTAAGCTGAAAATTTCTGTTGATAATTTTCACAACACCCAAATTAAGGCAGCCGCTTTGATTCTATAACCAATTTTTTATGAGTTTTTGTGGGCAAATGTATATGCTTTACTTGCATTACATTTTGAGTATGTGGAGAATAAAAACCATCGAATATTGCTTTATCCTCCCCTCCCCCCCCTCCTTCCCGAGCCCGTGTGATTCTATACACTCTAAGCCCATTCATTTGCAGCATCCATAAATTCTAGTAGTTTGAAGTTAAATAATATACATGTACTTGTGGGATTTGTTTAATTTCCAACTTGCTCAGTACTTTTTTGAAATCCGAATGGGATACAATTGTGTTTTGATACAAAGGCCTAATTGGTGCCTTTTGGAGTTAATTTTCAAAAGGCATTTGAAACTTTATGTGAAACACATGAAGCCATGAACAAACTCTAGTTGGTGTGGATCAAGCCTGGGTTTTCACATTCATAGGTGTAAACTTAAATGGTCTGACAAATACTAGTTTGCCCCATGAAAGATGTCTGATTTACTTGTCCTTCATTCCCATCCGTTGGGTCTATGGAGATGACTTCAGCTTTAGCATTGGATGCCAGTGCACTAAATTTTATGTAACTGGCCTCTAGTTTTACTTTAATCTTGGGATTGAATTGGTAATTATTGTAGGCCTCGTGTGGCTCTATAAGTGTGTATACCGTCTTTACATTTTGATGTGGACATTATAGCAATATGTTGAGAGCAACTTGAAATGTTGTATAACATGCTTGATATCAATCTCCTAAACTAGTGTATCTCGTAATATTAGGTAGCTGAATGCCCAAGGGAGCTCTATGGGAGGTTGGTTTAACTAATAAGGGACCTCTACTAAAATAGCCTTTAGCAGTCAGAATTGGCCTTGTGATTTCTTTTGGTGCAGGCTTTGTTTATTTAATCTATAAGTTCGAATGAGATTTGGTTTTGATGGTCCATCAGATGTTTTTGTCAGAATCTAAGCCTTCAGATTAGGCGTCAATTTTATGCTCCTAACTACTATGACATATGGTGCCTTTGGGAAATGAAAAGTAGTATTTTTTTTTTCAATTATTATTTTTACTATTCTGAAGCATGAGTGCCTTTTCTCGTGAAGCATCAATATGTAGTGTATCCACCAGAGGCCCCACGGCCTCCATCACCAGAGGAACTAAGGGAGATGGCTCGAGAAATAGCTCGCAAGAGAAACAATGGTTGATGACTTCCTGGGGCTGTAGGTAATAAATGTTGCTTTCCGGTTGTATCTATTAGCTCCTAAAAAAACCACTATACTGTAATACTTTTTTTAATAAATTTTATGAGCAATATGCTGGTGTAAGCATCAAGGATATGACTGCAATACCACAATGCTTGTGTGATTCGAAAACAGGGGAGAGCGCTTCACTGGTTGCACTGGAGAGAGGGTTGTGTGTTTTTGTTGAATGTACTTGGATTGGATGGAAGTTAACCATAGAGGTTGTTGTTGAAAGTTTGGAGTTGAAAGTCTCCTACATAGGTTTTGTGATTGGCATTTTGTCAAACTCAACTCAGCTCAACTCAACTCAACTCAACTCAAGAGAGCCTTGTCCCAACATTTTTGGGATCAGTTACATGAATAATGTTTCGCCATTGTGCTGTCTTAAGGGTTGATTGGCATTTTCTCCCCCAAATGAAGTATCCCATGGCAGCAGAAGCATCATTTTTTCCTGCTAGTTCTATTCGCGTTAAGAAATATGACTATAGTAAAGATATGTGGATTTATTCCTTTTCTTTTCTTTTTTGCATTTTTTAAAAAGGGATATGGGAGTGCTATTTGTTTAACTGTACCATTTAGGAAAATTTCTGTTTGAAATCTGACCTTTTTCAAAGTCTCAGGTGGAGCCCATACTGATGTGTTGCCAGCATATTTCTGTTATAGGCTGAAGGAGAATTGCAGAGTGAAGGTCACCTAACATTTAAAATTTTAATAGCCACCTGAATTAATGACGTAAGCCGTGTAAATTAGTTGGCCTGAAGTGGGTATGACAGCGGAAACTATGGGGAAAGGGACTCAGATATGTAGTGAGAAAGCCACATTGATCTAACTGCAATGTGATTTCTATACATTATCAATTTATGGAGTTTATTTCTTCACAACGGTATACCCAAATCCAGACTGCTGATTCCTAACTCTTTCCTTTAAAGACTGCATACAAATCTTTTTTTGCCTTTAAACATGCCTAAGAAACTGACTGAGAAATCATTTTCGTAATTTTTTAGCACGAGTCCTTAAAATGGTGTGTTTTCAGCACATTTTCTGTTGAAAGTTGAATGCAAATTATAAAATTGAGATGCATAAATGGCTATAATGTAAATAAATGCCTGATCATTTTTGTACTGTTAAGACGTAGAAAGTGTTAGGAATGCATTTGCTGTGGCAAGACAATTGTTGGGGAAGGGAATTCATACATTGAGGAAAGGGGAATTATTTTACCTGCTATGTGATTCCCTTGCATTTCTGATTGCTCAATATTTTTGTCTTCACTATATTAAGTTATATTGTCGATTCTAATGTTAATAGTGGTAGAATTAATATCTGTTGTGCAAGTTAATATGGTGAAACAGAGCAGCTTGAAATTGTTATTGCATTTAGTATGGCCCCTAGCTTGAGATAATTACTCATGTACACAGGTTTTGTCATTGGTTACTGATTTGCTATTTCACAAATCTCAAAGCCAGTGAGAAGGCTTGATTTTGATGGTATCATCAAACCCTTGCTAAGCCATGCCAAATTTTACTCTAAAGCAATGCTTGAATACATATGTACTTGTGACCTCATGAATTCTAGGATGATCCTTCTTTTTTCACTCTTTTCTGATTGCTGGGGTGGCATAAACACTAAGAATGCGATACATGACATTAGAAATGCTGTATCATTTGATGAAAAACATGATGGAATAACCGAATACGAATGTTAGTTGGGTGAGAACATTGGCTCTTAAAATTGCTTTAAGCTACTCTGTGGCCTAATTGTCGAGACAATTCTATATTTGTTTGATTATTAATGACTATTTGTTATCCTGTACAATTTCATCTAATAAACATTGTTTGTGGATTGCAAAATCCTCTTGGCTATGTTTTATGCCTCGGCTGGAAACTGTTGTGTGCCTTGTCTGCCCTAAAGACTTGTAGCCTTGGTGATGTCTGCCGTTCACTGTGATAAGCTGAATGGTGGTCCAAATAGATGGAGTTATGATAGTTGAAATCTCTCTTATTCTGCTCATGAAACCATGCACAGATCATCCAACGATCTCAGGCAATGCTGGATGGTCTGTCGTTCATATAATACAATGTCGTGCTAGGGACGGCCTAATCTAATTTGGGGCCCTCGATGAAAATGTTACATGAGGCCCTATAAATATTTATTCAGTAATAATAGTAATATTAAATACTTATTAAAATATGTTTATTTATAAACTATTTGTTTTGTCTTTTGAGATATAACATACTAGTTCAAATTTTACAAATAAAAATTGTGTTATTCAAAGTCAAATGCGGAGATCAAATATAATAATACATACTATTTGTTTAGGATAAAAAAAGAAACATAATCGAAAATTAGGTTGGCTAGTAAAATAATTTTTTTTTCAATGTTTATAAAAATAGGAATTTATACACGTTTAGTAGTGCTAAAATAAATGAGATATTGTTAGATATTATAGAGAAAAAGAGCAATTTTTAAATAAAAAATTTGAGTAAGACAACTATGATTAATTAATTTAAGATAAATAGTGTATTACTTTTATTCACTCTATTTTATAGTCATCTTGTGCATCGTAAATAAAGTTATTAAAAATTGATCTCAAATTTAACTTATATAAATATAAAATTATTATTTGTACTTATTATAAGTGATAATACATGTAATATAAATATCGGGTGAGATAAAAAACATAAGCTGAACTTTCAGGCCCTAAATTTTTTTAAAAGAGGTTCTAAATTTTTTTATAATAATGTTAATTGCACTTAATTTGAAGATTAAGTACATTAAATAAATTGTGAATTTTGTTTAAATTTAACACTCACTATTAATTCAATAATTAAAATATATTAAGTATTTAAATTATATTCTAAAATAATCATTATTTATTTGATTTTGGGGTTTCAAATTTTTTTTCCAATTGGAGGCCGCTAAGGTTGGGCCGGCACTGTGTCGTGCAAGTATAAAAATAGGCGATGCCATCGTGCTAGGGAGGCTGATCATTGGAGGCAGGCTGGTGATCGTCCTCCTGCCTTAGAAAGTCCCAAAAATTGAGGTAGTATGTGGGAACTGATCTCGGGAACGGTAAGATTTTCATTACAATCTAAGTGTTGGGGAGAATTTGAATCACGAAGATAATGACGACTTTCAAAACTACTACTAGTTCTGAGTGTTCCTTTCCGACCCCAATCTGTTCTTGCAATTATTGGTACATGACAAGGTCTTTTGCTTTCAATGCAGTGTTGTGACTGGGAAAACTTCTATCTATGTAGGATAGGTCTTAATGTCTTATTCAAACTCCCAAAGTAGACCGCTGCAATTGTGGTTCTAAGCCCCTCCACCTATGATCTTGCAATTTTGGAGTGAAGGCAGGAGAGTTTTTTNCTAAGCCCCTCCACCTATGATCTTGCAATTTTGGAGTGAAGGCAGGAGAGTTTTTTCCCACAATGCAACAAATTTTAAATTTTATTATCAATCTATGACATTTTTGAATTTATTTATTAAATTACGATATTTTTTAAAAATTGATTTAACAACCTTGTTTTTTTTGTTAGAAAACGGATTTAATAATCTCACTTTTGTTAGAAAGTGGAGTCAATTACCTCTCTTTTAAATAAAAAAATGTGATCTAAAATTAAAAATTTTGTGGGCAACAGGTTGTAAAAACAATATAAAGCAAAAGCAAAAGCAAAATATAAAACATGTTTACTAAACATATTTTTTACGATTTTCATCTATTATGATTGTAATTAAATATTGTGTGAAACAAGTGAAAAACGTATTTATTAAACTAAGTCATGTGTTTTTAAGTTTGGACTATTAGTTTTATTTTTTATTAATTTTAATTTCAATTTCATACTCAACTCCAATGTGGTATTTACATAGATGATATCAAGTGTATCCTCACATTTCATTAAAAATGAAAAAGAAAAGAATTTCATTGTGCTACTATAGTAAAAGAAAGGGTAAATATTATAATTAGTCTTTAACCTTTGTATCCGATTTTAATTATTCTAATTTAGTTTTTTTAATTATTAATTTTATTTTAGTTAAATTATGTAATTTATTTTTATTGTTAAATCGGAAGGCTAGTCTAATCTGATCAATTTCAAGAGTTAAACATATGTTTTCGTTTTAATCTAAGGCAAAAATGGACGAAAAAATTTAATTAAGATAAAATTGATAGTTAATAGATTAAATAATGATAATTAAAAGTTTAAATACCAAATTAAAAAATAAAAATATAAGCATTATATTTACCCGAACGGAAAGACAGAACCAATTTCCGCGGGAAAGGAAAACCCGAACAAGATAGATCCTTTGGCCTGGACACTCGTCTGGCCCTCCCCATGGAAATTTCGTGGAACCATTCACACCATGCGATGAATTTTCCATCGATATTCAATCACCCCCACCGCGTATTTTTCATGGAAGTATCATACTTCGTTGACCCCGATTGACGTACCAAGCCAGTCTTCTTCTACAAACAAATGGCATTTCTTGTGGTCACAACGTCTTTTGAGTGGTTCTTTGGGCTGATACTACCTGAACCCACTTTTGGATGCTTTGGTTTTTTGGGTTTTCTTTCTTGTGATTCTTGGTTGGAAGGGATTTGAGATATTGTGTTTGCTGTGCCCTTTATTTGTTTCAAGTCTCAGAAAAAATCAAGCAAAAGTACGTTTTTCCCTTTTACTTTACATCAGTAACTTTGATTATTTTGAATCTTATTTGATGTTTGGAGATGGGTTCTTGTCTGTTGGACTAATATTGAGCTATTTCATCCGGAAGGTGCATTGTCTTATTTTTCTTTTTTCTACTCTGTTGCATGCCCTTATTTGTATTTGATTCCGTGGAGATTAATTAAAAACATTTTCACTTGTATGATTAGAATTACCAATTCTTTGCTTCTATCTTATATTGTTTTTGCTCATAGATTCTTTTCAGTTGTCATTGGTTAATGATTATGCTATTTTTTCTGATTTTCTGTTGGAGAAGTGGGATATTTTTCTTTTTTTTTTTTTTGAGCTGAAACTGGTGCTTAGTATTTCACTTTGTTATTTTAACGCAATATTTTGTGAAGTTGGGGCTTAAGTCTAATTTTTGCCGATGGTTAATGGGAATAAGTTGCTGGTTTTGGAGGTATATTGCTGGTTTTGTTTCGCCTTTACTAGATGTTTGAAGGGTTATGGACTTGGGGAGTTAATCTAAGCCCCCCCTTTCTCTCTCTCCTCCTTTATCTCTCCCCACCACAGTGTTCCAATTGGGATGTAAGAACATAGATGTTTGTCAATGAGCTCTAACGTAGGCTTCTTTATTTGCGTGTAGGTATTCAGTTAATTGTTGAAGAAAATCTTTTACAGCAGGGCAGTTTTAAATTGTTGTGAATTGAATTAGGTGTTCCAGAAGCTAGTTAGTGCTGAGAGAGGGGATGAAAGTAGAAAAATGTGTTGAAGGGAGAACATGCATTATTGTTGTTGTAAACTTCGATTACCAGGTCGTGGATATAATCTGCCATCCTTGATTCTAATAGCGGATTTGGCATACAATTACAAAGATGTCACTAGAGCTTGTACCAATCAGTGTGATCATGTCTGTGCTTACAGACCAAGTCATCAAAACAGCTAATGCTGCCAAAGATGTTTTTGACAAAGAGAGTTTCAAGGATCTGTCAAAGCACCTTTTTGACATTGAGCTTGTTCTAAAGGAATTGCAGCTTCAAAAACTAAATGATTCACGTGCTGCAAGGCAAGCTTTGGAGTTCCTTGAAGCCGATGTCAAAAAGGCTAATAACTTGATTGACAAGTACAAAAACCGTGCCCCTTTCTACTTGCTGGTCAGGTGCCGACACATCATCAAGGAAGTACAGGATGTCACAAGGGATATTGGTAAATCTTTGGCCGCTTTGTCACTAGTAAACACTGATGTCTTATCTGGGATATCAGACCAGGTGAATAGGTTACAAAGTGAGATGCAAAGAGCGGAATTTGACGCTTCTCACTCTCGGCTCCAAATAATTGACAAGTTAAATCAGGGTCTTACAGATCAAAAATTTGACCAGGGATTTGCAAATGACCTGCTCAAAGAAATAGCAAGGGCAGTTGGGGTGCCAGTTGAGCCGTTGGAGTTAAGCAAAGAGCTAGAAAGCTTCAGAAGAGAAAAAGAAGAAGCTGCCAACAGGAAAGAAAGGGCTGAAGTTCTGTTCTTGGAGCAGGTTATTGAGCTGCTCTCTCAAGCCGATGCTGCAAGGGATTATGAGGAAGTCAGGAAGCAGTATTTCGTAAGGCTCCAGGTCATAGAATGTTATGATCCAAGAGAAGAATATATCCAGCCGTTTAAAGCTTTCATTTGCTGTATAACTGGGGCTGTTATGGTTGATCCTGTTAGCCTCTGTACTGGAACTGCATGTGAGAGAGCAGCTCTTGAAGCTTGGTTAGAACGTGGGGAGAAAACTGATCCAGAAACAGGTGCCCTTCTTGAAGATTTCTCTTATAGGTCCAACCTTCGACTCAGACAATCCATTCAAGAATGGAAAGAACTCAACTACTGCATCAAAATCAGATCCTGCAAGGCAAAATTGCAATCAGAGGCCCATTTTTTAGTCGAAGAGGCCCTTGATCAAATGCGGGAGCTTATGAAAGAGAATTCCATCAACAAAGACTGGATTTCCATTGGAGGGCTAACTGATATTATTGTCACCATACTTGGAAACTCACATAATGAAGATGTGAACAAAAATATACTCATTACCTTAAAGGACCTTGCTGAAGGGCATGCGAGAAACAAGGTCAGCATTTTAATGTTGAAAAACAGTAGAACTCTGCTTTCATTGTCTGAATTTACTGGTAACTGTTTTTTCTTTCTTCAGTCCCTAGATCCTTCTATTCACCTGATAATTCTGGTTGAATTTAAGTTTCTTTAGGGACGATCATATTAAGAATGCTTGCATTTCCTAGAAGAGTTTCTTATAAAACCATTAGTGTTTACCTGTAATATTTGGTGAGGTTTCTTGGTAGGTACCTTGTATATTATTTGTTCATGCTTCGTTAATCTTCTGTTGATATTATAACTTATTGGAAGAGATCTAAACCTGAGCTCCTGTCAAACCTAAAATTTGCTTCTTCATCTTCTTCTTCTTATAAACCTTATAATACACCCACAAAAGCATAGCAGCCTTATGTCTGAAGATTTTGAATTACAAAATAACAGCCTTATGTCTATAGTGTCTTCCCTTAACTGACTATCATATTAAGAAAGCTTGCATTTCCTATAGTGTCTCTTATGAAACATTCGTGTTATTTAACGATCATCTATTGTGAAGTTCTATTATGAATTTGTTTGGTACATACTTTTTATACTGAGTGTTTGTGTTTCATAGGGTAAAGGAAGCTAGGAGAGATTCTAACCAATTCTATCAAGGTTAATCATCTGTTGATAAGATAACATATATAAAAGATGTGAACCTGAGCTCCAGTCAAATATAAATTGTTGCTACTTCATCATTGTTTTCTTATAAACCTTAGAATACATCCACATGGACACGGATGTGTCACATATGGAAATGTTTTGAATTACAACATAAGAAGAACAATTTCCTTTTGCAGAAATGCTAACTCTGTGGTTTTAATCCAATTTTATAGGAGTTATTGGTCCAGAATCAGGGGTTTGAGCACATTATTCCATGCTTAAGGTGTGACTCAAAGATATCAATAGCTGCAGTCAAGTTGCTATACGAGTTACTGCAAGACAGTTCAGGTTGGAATGTGTCCTATTGCAGGAAACTTTGTGAGCAGTGTTGTGCTATTCTTTTCCTTGTTACCCTTCTGAAGGGTCCAGTGAGGGAATCAGCGGAGAAAGCAGAAGAAATCTTGATGAAAATATGTGATGAAGATGAGGATATCATTATTCAGGTTGCTAAAGTGGACTGGTGGAGACCACTCATTGATGGGATTATTCAAGGTTAGAAACCCATTCAACCTTCAACTGTATGGTTTTGCATACAAGCAAATAAATTGCTTAATGATTACTTCTTTCAAGGTTATGAGCCATTTCTATTTAAGTTTCAATGAGACACTACTTAGTTTACGTATGTTGTACCGGGAAAAAATCTCGTACCCTCTGTTGATGATTGGGATTGACTGGAAAAATGAATAAAATTGCACTGCAAAACGATCAAACTGCCAGAGACGGGGTGTGGCCCAGTCGGAGGCACTCCAACACTTAAGTTAGTAAGGGTTTTGAGACAAATCGAACAAATTTGCTAGGAAGAGAGTGTATACCTTTGACTCAAGCATTATCTGGCATTTATAGTGTCACATGGTGCCCTTTTTGCTAGGGTTTCCACCATTGGCTATACTAGATGGCACACATATTATTCTTGATTGGTACTGGAAGATCTTCCAGTTTCCTTTTCTCATTCGTCTACTTTTTAGGTAACGTGTATAATGCTTCCCTTAAACTTAGGCAACTTTCTCATAGGTTTGTCACCGCCTTTGATTCTCCAGGATAGCCTAGCTATCTTTGTGCCCACCCCACTATTGTTTTCTGGTGATATTAATTTGAATAGACCCTTACTTAAGTGATTGTTAATATTTCAAACAATGTTATTGATATCTAATTTAAGGACCTAATGTATTGTGATATTAAGTTTAATAGTGAACCTCAATATTTAATAACTCCACTATCTATCCAATGGTCACAAATCATTGGGTCTCCACCAATTAAATCTCAAATTAAATGTAACTAATATTATTGTTAACTTTTAAACACGTTTTAGACATATTCGAATATGTTTTGAATATATTGAGGTTATTTTGTAATTTTTTTTAAATTGTAGGGTTATTTCGTTATTGTATAAAAATGTGTATCGTTATGTAGTAAATTGTAGGATCATAAATGAAACATTGTTGCCACGATTTTATATATAAAATAAATATTGTTGATAAGATTGATTTGTATCTCTTTCAAATAATAAAAATATACTACGGCCAATTGTAAGTGACAATAATTAGTCTCATTTTTGATAAGAAGTTTTAATTATTATTATTTTTTGTTCATGTTATGCATATTGATTTTTAATGTTCTATGTTTACTGAACTTTTAAGAATTAAGTATAATTTCAATAAATATGAATTTATGAACTTTTACGGTCAATTGAAAAAAAATTTAAAACGCACTAATGTGCCCACCCTAAATTTTTTTCCTAGCTCCGCCTAGGTGGGGGTGGGTGCATGGCAGTTATCTACAGAAGTCATTAGATTTCAGAGTGTGCTTGCATGAGATCAGCACCCATTCTCCAAAAAGAGAGGAGAATAGAAAATTTGAGTTAGATGCTTAAGTTAAGCACATGGAAATTAGATGATGCAATATCCTTTTTCCATTGTTCATGTGGGAAGTGGGAACCCATGTCCTAGAATTCCTCATTCAACTAAATAAATATGCGAATTGAATGTTGACAAAGCGCTCCAATATCTTAGAGGAAGCAATAATGTCACACTTCAAGTAACTACAAAACCCTCGTCAGAACTGCTATACATGGGAAAGCCTGAGAAGTAAGACTTAGACGTGGCAAGAACCCAACAATAAATAGTTATTTGTTTTATATATAAAAGTAAAGTTTAAACATACATATCACAAATATTTTTGAAGATGAGTAAAATTAATAGCATTTTGAAACACACAAATTTACAACAAATTAATCCTTATAAATCATCGCCCTTATTGCATAAAAATAGCAATATGCATGCATCTGCTTGTTGGTACCTAAATATGTAATTCTGTAGCACATGCGGATATAATGTTGATAAATATGATGAATTATCTTTCCATCCTGTGCTCAATCCTTTAGATCGATAAAATCATCTACTGCCTTATGGTGGTTTTCATAAGATGGTTTCTTATGTTTATGTCACTACTCTTGCTTACTATAAAAGAAAGTCATATCTTGACATGCAGTTTTGTCAGTCCCATCTTGGCATCTGTCTACAAAGTTTGTGCCATAAGTCCAGAACTAGGAAATTTTTTTATAGTTATAGACACATCAAGTACGTTTCGTATGCGTGTCTTTGAGGGACCTTGAAGCATTGGTGTTAGATACATATTCAAATTGTCTACAACTCCATAGAAGTCTTTGTACTTTCTTATGCACTATATTACATGCATCCATAGTTATTAAATTGTGTATCGGAAGACGTATCATTTTTTAAAAATAGTGTATCGTATCGTATATCGAAAGATACGACGTAATTTTAAATAATTAATTGTAAAATATATATGCTTTTGAAAAAAAATCATAGGCTCATAAAAACATAACATTTCATTAATATTCCATTTACTATTCAAGTTACCAATATAATTTACTAATATTAAAAAAATAATAAAGGGTATCAAATTAAATTAATGATACTTATATATACTTAAAAATAAAAAGTTATAATGTAGGGGGTATTAAATGTAATTCTTCATTCTTATAACCACAGTCGTGAGTCTACCCAATACCCACGACTCATGAACGAACACAGAGAGCCAGAGAGAAGAGCAAAAGGCGATCGGCGATCGCGATGCCGATGCCGGTGGAGAGAGAGAGCGAGAGAGAGGGAGAAGAAGAAGAAGACAAACAGTGGTACCTAGGGTTTCATCATAAATTTACAGGTTAGTATTGCTATTTTTTTCAATTTCAAAAATTTGTTTGATTTGCTTTTGCTTTTGCTTTTGCTTGAGTGTTTTTGCTGATTTGTTGCCTGGTAATTCTTGTCTTCTTCATTTTTGTTGCCTTTTTTTTTTGGCATTTTCTCTATTCTCTGATTTGTGGGCTTGTCTTCATCTCTCTTGCTTTTGCTTCGGTGTCTTCATCTCTGGTGCGAATCAGGCTGTCAAAAAAAAAAAAAAAAAAGTTAAACAGCGACTTCGTGTATCGGTGCGTATCAGTACGATACGTATCGTGTATCGGACGATACAATGCAAAAACGATACATAACTACGATCCGTATTGGTTTAGGCCTGTATCGTACGATACGTATCGCGTATCGTACTATACTAACAACTATGCATGCATCCATTAAGTGTGTCAAGTAAATTTTCAATGGTTTATTGAATTGGACATCCAAATGCGCCCTTGGCATTAGTCTTCTTTTGTTTGTTTGTGTGTTTTTATGTTCACAATTTGGTCCATTAACTCATGGTTAAATGGAGTAATATGTTCTGTATCTTATTCAGCACAAATTGAAATATGTAGTGCATTGTTGACTTCATTTTGGGTTCGAAAGTCATGATGAGTTTATGTTGTTCCATTGCATGGCAGGGCCTGCATCTTCAAGACTATTGGTGGTAAAAGGACTTGCTAATATGGAAGTGGGTGAACAGAATATCAAACTCCTTGCTGAAGAAGGGGTTATACCACCTTTGCTTGAGATGGCATCTGGCAATATTGAATCAAAAGAAGCATCGTTATCTGCGCTGGTTAAGCTTTCTGGATGCCATGATAACAAAAAGCTTATTGCTGCTGCTGGAGGAGTTCCTCTTGTGCTGGAACTAATGTCCTCTTCTCATATTCGCACAAATATTATTGCGAAATGCTCTGAAATCCTTGAAAGACTTTCTTCTCATGGTGACGGAGTCAAGTTCCTTGTTGATGAAAATGGAACCCAAGTTGATTTAAAGCTAGTGATCATGAACTTATTGGCTTTTCAACAGAATGCCAACTCATCCAACATTGTCCGCAGGCCTGCCTTGCGTGCACTGGTTGGAATTTGTCAATATGAAGCTGGGCTTGTTAAGACAGCTGTTCTCAGTGCCAGTGGTGTTTCTCTAGTCCTCCCTCTTCTTGATGACTCGGATCTTGAAATAAGAGAAGCTGCCATAAATCTACTCTTTCTATTCTCCCAGCATGAACCACAAGGAGTTGTTGAATACCTTCTCAGGCCGAGGAGGCTAGAGGCTTTGGTCGGATTTCTGGAGAACAATGATAAGGGTGATGTGCAGATGGCCGCAGCTGGTTTGTTAGCCAACCTTCCCAAATCAGAAGTGTCAGTAACGAGGAGATTAATAGAATTAGGTGGCCTGAAAGCAATCATAGACATTATACAATCTGGTACCACCCAAGCAAAAGAAAATGCTCTAAGCACTCTATTCAGATTTACGGATCCCACAAATCTTGAGTCACAGCGGATAGTGGTTGAACTAGGTGCATACCCTCTGCTTGTGGATATTCTTAGGGTTGGTTCAATAACAGAAAAGGCAAGAGCAGCTGCTCTCATTGGTGATCTTTCCATGCGTAGTTCGGAACTTACTGTTGTATCTAGAAGAGCTAGCTTCTGGTGCTTCTGTCGCGCAAATGTCACTAGATGCCCAGCGCATGGAGGTATCTGTAATGTGACAACCACATTTTGTTTGCTAGAAGCAAATGCATTGCCTGACCTGGTGGGGCTATTACAAGGAGAGGTCCATGCAACAGCTTATGAAGCAATTCAAACACTTTCCACTCTGGTTCGGGAAGATTCTCCTCAAAAAGGGGCCAATGTTCTGCATGAGAATGGTGCGATTGGACCCATATTACATATTTTGACATGGGGATCGGAGTCATTGAAGGAAGAAGCATTGGGACTCTTAGAGAAGGTCTTTATGTCGAGGGAAATGGTAGAATACTATGGATCAACAGCTAGACTGCATCTTGTTCATTTGACTGGCCGCAGCATTAATGAAGAAGGGCATCTTCAGAGGAAGGCTGCTAGAGTCTTGCTACTCACTGAACGTTATTCAAGATCATCAAGAACTCTTGTAGTGGGACTACCTGGGTGAAATTCCTTGCGATCACTTTAGAATAGAGTTAATTCTACTCTTCTGTGCATGGTTGATGCTCCCATGGTTCAGGTAATTTAGTACAACAAACCTGCATGTCCATCACTCTCGTTCAGTAGTTTTGCCCACGCATGCTCTTTAGTAGAAAATGAGGTGCCGTTGAATTTCTTAACTTGTATTTCAATCTTTCTGAAATCATATGCTTGATCTTTGAAACCTGGGAAATCTAGTGCTTATACATACATGCTTGAATTTATGTAGTAATTGTTATAATGAAATTACTGTAACAAAAAATGTGTATATAATTAGATTATATTAAACTGTATAAATCTTAAATCATGCACTTAATTTAGACATACTATAATCAAAACAGTGTACTTACAGGGACGTAGATCAGCACGAATAATAAATAAGAACAAACCAGAACTTCAACTCGAGTCTTGTGAAACACAATCTCTTTAAGACAGATTTGTTCCCTCTCGGTGTTCAAGGTGAATGAGTAACTGTCTCTTAAGATAGAACGAATTTTTCTTCTTGAAGAAGCAACACTTCACTTTTCAAGATTTCAGTGAACATAACTTGTGTTTATACTTGAACCAAACCAAAATAAGAATGCAACAATATGTAGAGAAAGAGAGGAAGAAGAATTCTGAAATTGGAGTCCAGAATCAGATGAATTGAAATGGCAAAGGGACAGTATATTTATAGATCCTTGGTGGCTGTTCGGATTGCCCAAAAAGGCATAAGTTACTACTGTTCAAATTGAAGAGACATACTCTTTAATCTGAACAGGTAAGAGGTACCTCTTGGAATTAACAAGTTCTCTAGAATGGGTCCAGACCCTTTTCGGCGCCAAGTTAAAAAATAATGGGAATAATTTTTAAAATTTGGTTTTGATTTTAAATTTCAATTGGGTTTTAAATTTCGATCCGCGGTTGGATCCGATTGATTTTACTGATGACCCGTACTACTCTAAATAAATTTTGTCCAAAAAAATTATAATTTTTTGGCCCAAGCTCGAGCCTCGTCGTGGCGAGACAGGCAGGTGGCGCGTGTGATAACTAAGGTAGTGCAAGTGTTCGCTCCGCTCACAAAAATGTGGTACCCTTTGAAGCCCAAACCTAAGAAGCCAATTAAGAGTATATTAACTTATCAAAGTGTTGGTCTTTTTACAATGTGGGACAAGTTTTATTTTATTATGCCAAACTTAGTTTATTTTATCATTTCAAATAGATCACTTTGAGATGTAATTTCTTATTTAAATCTTAATAGTTTTGGACAAATAAATATACCACGTTAATCTCCTCACAGAGGAGAACGCGTTTAAATTTAATTCCACTAATTACGAGGTGTGGGTCTTATTTTTATTTAAGCCTCAAATTGCTCAAATAAATTTGTTTAAAACTATTTTATTGAACATTTACTTATAAATTCGATCCCTGTTTATCGTTGGGCCTACCTGTTGCTCCCCAACACGAAGCTTGGCTCATCTGTGTTATTTAAACTGGAGATTGGATGGAATTACCGACTCATTCTGTATGCTTTCTCCTTGTGTTTCTTTCCGACAGGAATTGAGAACTGAGATGTCAAAGTTTCAAGAGATTGATAATGTCTTGATGAAGGAAAATACTAAAGAGAGCCTGTATTGGTATGGAACCTCAACCAAGTCTCTTTTAGGAAAATAATGTTACATGTGGAAAGGTTTATAATTTCGAGTTTCCTTAGAGCTGTTTAGTTCACCGAGTAGGTTAGGATAGATTAGGGTGTTTCATCCAACCCATTCCTACCCTATCCAATTCTGTCTAGAAATAATAAGTAATTTGTATCTAATCCACTGTTTGGTTAGCATATATGAATATTGTGGGCTGCCCATGGATGAAGATGAACCCATGTGCTCTATGTTCCTGTAAACTTATTTTAACTACCATTTTGCTACTGTGCTCCTAAGACAATTATTATTCAATCAAAGCAGTTGCGTATCTATAAATTAGTAACCTAATCCAATTGGTGCCATTTTAGTACTACCCTAGCTTGGTTTAAATAGCACCGAATATAAAGAGTTATTTTCATTGTTCATTGTCGGTTTGGATTTATAATCCTATTAGAAAAAAACTTCGCCAAAACGGGAAAAATACGAGCCTCCCAACCTCACGTTACTCCAATCTTGACCCCTTATCCCCCAAATTCTCGTGAACTAAAGGGTCGCTTAGAGAATGGATTGTAATTGGATACACCCATGGATTTGGTGTCTCTCACCAATCGCAAACACTGCTTCCTTTTTATCTTCCTTCCAACTTACATTGCGAAACATTCAGATTTTTTATAGGAGGTGCTTAGATTCGGAAAATTGAGGGGATCATATCCAACCCCCCATCTTGAGCTTTGAGTTATGGAAGGATGGAGCTCTAGAGGGACAACCAAGACAATGTGCAGTTAGGGCCGAGTTAGTGCCACTATTGAATGTTTCATCTGCTTTACTTTTTGTTGCAAATTTATCCACTTCTCTTTCCTTTTCCCCCTTATCATACTATTCTAGGCATGGTAATGTGTCACCTTTATGATGAAATATGACTCTCGTCTCTGACCAGCTGAACAAACAACGGTTACTTACCGGGTAACAAAAAAAAAAAAAAAACTGGCAACATTTTTTACTCGAAGTTCAAATTATAGTACTGTGTATAGCATTTTTGTTATCCTACAATCTCTTTCTGCAAGTGTTTTTAAGCCAATGAGTTGTATTGAAGAACTGAACCGATTCAATGTCCGGTTAGTTAATCATTTGTTGTGTAGTTACAACTTTGTATGTTTGTTGTGCTGATTTTGATCTCTGGGTCAGGTGTTTTTGAATGACTCTGCTCAAACTGTCCGAAGAGGAATATATAAAACGAACGTGCTATCATATTTTCAGAGAATTATAGGATACAGTATGGTGCATTGATCTGAATATCCGTAATGTATGCTCGATAGCCGTACTTGATAGTTAGGAAGAAGATAAATTTAGCATATGCTCATCTATTCAAGAGATATGTAGCGAGTTAGAGTTGACTTCCGTAGTAGTACTATTTTTTTTTTGCCTACTCACCCAAGCAAGTGATTGCGCGCGCGCACACACACTGACTGTTGTGGTTTAGACCCGTTCAATTGCATATAACATTAGAAAGTTTGTTTTAGACATACTCTAGTGGATAACATTTCAAGTATCAATGTAGCTTTGCTCTTCGCAGGGTCGTGGGTCATGGATAGTCAACGGCCCATGACGGGTTCTGGGCCAACCTGTTCAGAACTTCTATGGTCCACTGCCAGTTCTAATTTTAGTTTTACATTTTGTCGACTAGTGGGTCGGGACACGGGCTTACCTAGCGAGCCACCCTGTCGGTCATAACAACCTTCAGCCTAGACGACAAAAAATACATCCCATAGCCTTATCTGTTTGATGTCGACCTAAGTACGGACCACCATGTGTTGGACCGGGCAGCCCGTGACCTGTAGCCCACTGGACTAATTGGTCACGGGCAATTTTCGGAGCCTCAAACACTTTTGTGGGCAAGGGCAGAAAACCCAATTTCAATGGCATACCAACATGCTTCAGAGATTCTCCAACATTTTTTTAATTTTAAATTATTTTTAACGGATCATCTACCATTAATGAGTGGTGGACTTACTTATACATAATAGATCTCACTTGAATTCACGAAAGGTGAATCAAAGAGGAAAATGGACAAAAAATGTATTGGATGTTCATTACAACTCGANATCGGGTAACAACAAAAAAAAAAAAGAACTGGCAACATTTTTTACTCGAAGTTCAAATTATAGTACTGTGTATAGCATTTTTGTTATCCTACAATCTCTTTCTGCAAGTGTTTTTAAGCCAATGAGTTGTATTGAAGAACTGAACCGATTCAATGTCCGGTTAGTTAATCATTTGTTGTGTAGTTACAACTTTGTATGTTTGTTGTGCTGATTTTGATCTCTGGGTCAGGTGTTCTTGAATGGCTCTGCTCAAACTGTCCGAAAGAGAATATATAAAACGAACGTGCTATTATATTTTCAGAGTTATAAGATACAATATGGTGCATTGATTTGAGTATCCGTAATATATGCTCGATAACCGTACTTAATAGTTAGGAAGAGGATAAATTTAGCATATGCTCATCTATCCAAGATATATGTAGCGAGTTAGAGTTGACCTCCGTCGTAGTACGATTTTTTTTTTTTTGCCTACTCACCCAAGCAAGTGATTGCGCGCGCGCGCACACACACTGACTGTGGTGGTTTAGACCCGTTCAATTGCATATAAGATTAGAAAGTTTGTTTTAGGCATACTCTGGTGGATAACATTTCAAGTATCAATGTAGCTTTGCTCTTCGCAGGGTCGTGGGTCATGGATAGTCAACGGCCCATGACGGGTTCTGGGCCAACCTGTTCAGAACTTCTATGGTCCACTGCCAGTTCTAATTTTAGTTTTACATTTTGTCGACTAGTGGGTCGGGACACGGGCTTACCTAGCGAGCCACCCTGTCGGTCATAACAACCTTCAGCCTAGACGACAAAAAATACATCCCATAGCCTTATCTGTTTGATGTCGACCTAAGTACGGACCACCATGTGTTGGACCGGGCAGCCCGTGACCTGTAGCCCACTGGACTAATTGGTCACGGGCAATTTTCGGAGCCTCAAACACTTTTGTGGGCAAGGGCAGAAAACCCAATTTCAATGGCATACCAACATGCTTCAGAGATTCTCCAATATTTTTTTAATTTTAAATTATTTTTAACGGATCATCTACCATTAATGAGTGGTGGACTTACTTATACATAATAGATCTCACTTGAATTCACGAAAGGTGAATCAAAGAGGAAAATGGACAAAAAATGTATTGGATGTTCATTACAACTCGATTTCGTAGCCTACCGAAGACTCAAATATTTGTTTATAAGTTCATTCGATATTGTGTAGGAAATTATCATGTTATTAACCGATCGAAACTTTAATACAACAATTTATGATCCCGTTGGAGGGAGAGACCCCATATTATACCATCTTTTTTGGTTCTTCAGTCATCTAGAAGTGGACAAATCTGATATTATAAGTCATAATGTTTCGACTTTTTCGAAAAAACCGGTGTGCTGTGTCATGCAATATATTCATCACCACCATGGAAGCATAATGTTGGCCAATTTAGGGGAATCTAGTTCATCTTCATGGAAATGTCATGAACTCCATCTTTTCTAGCAGATAATCCGCCTTGAAAACCTACTTCTCTTTGGTGTCGTGCCCTATTCACAAACATTATTAATATTGGCAGTTCCACCAAGTTAAGTTACAAGATTGTCGATTTAAGAGCATATTGTCTGGTGCACTGATGAAGTGTCGGATCGGAATCTGTGAGATTGGGGATTGAATTTATGGACACATTCTTCGTGTTACTTAACTCGGTGGGCGTATGTCTAATGTTAAATATATATCTAATTAACCCTTTTTAGTACTCGGATCAATGAATACAAAATGTGGCAATAATTATTTTTTTACGACTATTGTATAAAAAGTGATTAAATTACCAAATTAACATTGATAAGATTACCGATTTAAATACGATAATAATAATTTTATATAAATAATGTCAAATGTTACGTGGATATCTTTTTATCCATTAAGACACTGGTCATTTATTCTCAATTTGATCCTCTTAATTCCTAAAAGCTGCATGTCAAAATTTGGTGTCACATCACATCCAAGAAAACAAACAAAACAAAAGAAAGGAATGAAAAAAAGAAAAGAAAAAGAGAAGAGTTAATATCATTTTCAAGTTCTCTTAACTTTCCAATTTTGACTTTTACTACTTGTACTCTGGACAATACTATGGTGCCAATTTTTTAGTTTTTTGGTATAAAATACCATAAAATTAATAATTTTATCTCAAAAGAGAATAATTTCACCTATATTATTATTTTTTTTTTTGGGAGGGAGGGAAAGGGGGACTTGAACACTTGACCTAAAAAAGGCAAAACTTTTCACAAGGCAAGGAGTATCATTGGATCTAAAAGGTGATTATTTCACTAAAAAAGTGATAAATATATCCAAAATAATGTAACATAATTTTAAAATGTGCACCCTTCAAAATATTTCATGGAATCGATCCACAACATTTGAGATCGATCCCAAAATATTTGGAATTGATTCCAATTATACTTGATCAATCACAAATATAAAGAAACCTCTTTGTTGGATAGATCAAAATACTTTGGGAACATCTATAAATGTGATGACGCACAAAAATAGATTTATGCACCACCTGTCGAGTAATTAATATAGGTAATAAATGTAGTACATATAAACGTGAGATCAACACAGGCAACACATAGATATAGAGTGATTCGGTTGGGATGATTTACTCCACTTTGAAAGCAGCAACGGTGGCCAGAAGACTTTTTTTGATAAAGTAGCAGGTGGGAGAGATAGAGGGTACGCTCAAAGTGAGGTGTGTGAAGTCTTTGTGTGAGAGATAACTGTCTCAGAGAGATGTTTCTCCTCATGTGTAGAGTAGGGGTGTTCAAATTTTTGATTAGTTGCAATTTCTTACTCTACCTGACCTTATTAAACGGTTAGACGAAAAAATCGGGTAAGAATAAGGAGTATTCATTAATTTGAGTATTCCTATCTTACCATATTCACATTAATATATATATATATAAACTAAAAACACTAATTCCCTAACCATATGGTTTAAACTTAAAATAATTGTTATTGTATTTATTGTATTCGCGCAACAATTATGATGGATTGATGTTTATGTTTTTTTTTTTGTGTTTTATTGTAATTGTTTTAAGTTTTAGTATTATTGGTTTATTGTGTTATTAAATTAGTATATGTTATTTAATTGAATTGCTAAAATGATTTAAAAATTAATAACTACAAAAGTGTTCACCCGATTTCTCACTCGACTTCCTACCTAATTAATTTGGGCGGAAGTCGGG